TATTACATACTTCGAGAAGGTATTTGTTGAGTAATAAAACCTTCTAGTAGTTTATCGAGGGCTGGCCGTCCTTACCGCACGGTACAAATATTATCGCCACTAGAAGCAACAAATTCCAGAAGAAGCCAGAACTCATACCAAAATGGCCACTTTATACAAATGAGTATTTAGGGGAATAATAACCCGAACCCTAACCCTAACCCTTTTAAGAGAAGTAAAAACTAAATTAGACCCAAGTTCAGTCTTTTAAAAAGGGTTAGGGTTAGGGTTCGGGTTAGTTATCCCCAAAATTCTCATTTATATAAAGCGGCCATTTTGGAATCCGGAAGCACCCGAACCTCGATAAACTACTAGAAGGTTTTATTTGTACCGTGCGGTAAGGACGGCCAGCCCTCGATAAACTACTAGAAGGTTTTATTTGTACCGTGCGGTAATGGACGGCCAGCCCTCGATAAACTACTAGAAAGTTTTATTACTCAACAAATACCTTCTCGAAGTATGTAATAAAATCTAATCGGGTGTATTGGAGACCATCGAAAGTATAATGGTTGAAATGACTCGCTGCTAGCCTGGAGTAGGCCGTAGCGCTACTGTCCGGGCAAACTTTCCCTCATAGCACACTGTATGTATTCGGGACAGAACAGTAGGACGTTAAACCCCATTTCATTTCATAATGAATTAAATATGATTTAACGACATGTTGTTCTGCTCCCTACTGGCTAATGAAGACCGGCATACGCCGTAAAGTGTGCTATAAAAAAATAATAAGGGAAGTTGTTCCCTGATATCAATTGAATTTTAGCTTTATCTTACGTGCGCGTCATGTACAGAGAGAGAGAGAGAGAGAGAGAGAGAGAGAGAGAAAAGGGGGTTTTAACGTCCAATCGACACAAACTAGGTCATTTCGGGACTAACATATGGTTTCATTCTATTTACATAATTCGCTTGTGCGTAGGGGTTTTTAGCAGTGGGAGGAAACTGGAGGACCCGGAGAAAACCCACATAAACCCATGTAGAACATTAGTAACTACGATTACTCTATAAAAGTATAAGGTTAAAATTCACGGCGATCGGATTCCATTTAGTTTTGTTTTTCATAGTTTGTAATTTCGTTTTGCTCGCCTTCATTACGTATTGGAGACCATCGAAAGTATAATGGTTGCAATGACTCGCTAGCCCGGAGTAGGCCGTAGCGGTACTGTCCGGGTACAGTGTGATATAAGGGAAGTTGTTCCCAGATACCAAGGGATCACTGTACACGACACCTCAGTTTTTCTTACCATCAGAACGAAGACACTGTTCTTGCTACAGTCCCTTCATACCGTGTGCTATGAAGTAAGTTGTGAAAAGAAATGAAATGAAATGGGGTATAACGTCCTACTGTTCTGCTCCGAAATGGGCTAATGAAGACGGGCATACGCCATACAGTGTGCTATGAGGACAATTTTGCCCGGGCAGTGGCGCTACGGCCTACTCTTATATCGAATTCCAACTGTCAAGGGATCTTTTACGTGCACGCCAATGTGTACACGGGACCTCGGTTTTTCGTCCCATCCGAACGACTAGACAGTTGTCCTTGTCAGGCCCTCCGTCCTGCATCACTGACAAGGGGGAATCACGCTGGAAAATCTGGGTGAACTTTCTCGGCCAATGTAGGGATAGAACACCCGATCTCCAGGCTAGCGAGCCAGCGTCTTAACCACTTAGCCACGTGATCCCCGAAGTAAGTTGTTCCCGGACATCAATTGAATTTCAACTGTATATTATGTGCACGTCAATATATAGACGGGTTCCTAGTTTTCATAACATCCGAACGACTAGATACTGTTCTTGCGACGGGCCCTTCGTAGGTATATTCTCGGCTAACACAGTGATCGAACAAACCGAACTGCTGCTTAGTGAGCAAGCGCCTTCCGAAGTAAGTTGTTCCCGGACATCAATTGAATTTCAACTGTATATTATGTGCACGTCAATATATAGACGGGTTCCTAGTTTCCATACCATCCGAACGACTAGATACTGTTCTTGCGACGGGCCCTTCGTAGGTATATTCTCGGATAACACAGTGATCGAACAAACCGAACTGCTGCTTAGTGAGCAAGCGCCTTCCTCACTGGGCCACCATATTCCAATATACCCCCTCTTTATTCTGGAATTCAGTACCTCAAAGTGTGAAACATGCGTCTTCATGTTTTATCTTCAAAAAAGAGTTAGTAAAACATGTCAAATCTTTGAACCCTTGTTAATTACTGTTGTCCTCTGAATGTATGTTTATTTGCCATTTTTTTTCTTTCTTGCTTGTTTGATTTTTCTCCATGATAAACTTATATAATAAAGTCATTATTAATACTTAATGCTTCGCTCTCGACCATTAACCCCCACTTGTATTTCGCTTGATCGAACTATCAACGTATTATGGTTTTACTATATCTCATGTGAAAAAGTAAAAATCATGTCATATGAATCACTGCCAGCTATGCACTCTTCGGATGGGACAAAAAACGAGGTCCCGTGTATACATTGGCGTGCACTTAAAAGATCCCTTGGTAGTTGGAATTCGATATAAGAGTAGGCCATAGTATTTTCCTCATAACAAACACCCTGTATGACGTATACAGTACAGTATGACGTTAAACTCATTTCATTGCATTTTGCACTTCTTGGTCGATATATATCTTCGTTAGCCCGGTTGGTGCAGACATTAAATCATATTTCATTTCATAAACCAATTAATAAAAGGGTAATTATGTTACATTAAAAGAGCTGACAGTTCTCGCTATAATAATGAAAACCGCATAATCGACTGAAATTTCCGTCAAATTACTCCACTCTGAACTGAGATATTAGCGATTCAATTTTAGGCTAGCCTCGATCGTCATTACTAACGTTGGAACGATTTTAGGTTAAATTATCAATCAAAAAGTGTATTCAAATACACTAAATATCGCAGGCTAACGATGACATCGAGGGTTTATTATGGTTTCGATCACTTAAACATTTCAGGTCTAAAGAAAAACCTACAGTAGGCAGATTTATCTCTTGCATGATGCATTAGAACAATAGAAAGAAAAAACCCAATCCACTTATAACCTGCACGTATAGCTTGGTGACATCGTAACATAAAAACTGCAACATCAATGGTGCACATGGAAAGCGTTCCGAATATATTTTCGCATGGTTACATTCGGCGATATCGCTTCTGTCGTGTTCTATTATAGGCCTCAAAAGGCTGAAACATTTGTCAAGATAAATTCATATAATATTGTGTTCTGTGTAATTCTGACACTTAGTTCACTTCACTGTCACAGACTATCGTTAGCAATCCGAGTCCTTCTCTTTCGATCATTGTGAATTGCAGTGAAGGGGGGATAACTACTTTAACGCGCACGAATCCGTTCTGGATTCGGACCACAATTAATGATGACGTCTTTTCACTATATTATTACTCAAATCTTTATTCAGTATTTAAGGTCTCTTGGCCATAGTACATAGTAGTGCAGTATAATATAATATATAAAACATAATTATATTACAACATATAACTAGTTTTTATACTATTAGCCTTAAATATATATTCTGCTACATTATTTACAATGTTTATATGCAAGTAAGTGTTATTACAATATGATGCGTCGATCTATGGCATAAGTTGTGATCTAAGGTCTTTATACATTTGACAAGATACAATGAAATAAATTTCATCTTCGATAGTCGTGCAGCCTAGATTATCCAGGCAATATAAACATGTTCTGTCAGATCTATCTATATTATAACATCGTCTTCCAGTTTCTATTGCTAAGTTGTGGTCCCCACATCCAAATCTGGTTAATGCTATTCGATATTTATTACTATAATATTTCTCAGGTTCGAGTATATGGACTTAAAATGGCTGCACTGTTCAAGTTTAGAACTGGAAGATAAATCGTGTGACCACTGTTACAACTTCAAGTATCATCACCACGAAAGATTAAGTGGGTTGGGGGATGGGGGTGGGGAGGGGCAATACTTAATGGGTAATCACGGAAAAGACGATAAAAGCCTGACTCACTAAAAAACATAGCAAACCTTACACAAACATTAGTCAACATTAACAATTTAATTTGTTTACAGGTTAGAAAACGACATCGAAGGATATCTTAATTATATTGCTAGCTACTTCACCGGTATACACACCTTTGTCTATGGGTCATATGGGGAGATGTACCCGATAATGTATCCGCATCCCTTGTCGGTGTGTCAAAGGGGGAATCCGTACCTGATATGTATACACACAACCCTGTCTGTGGGTCAAAGAGGGAAGCTTCACCCGGTAGGTCTATGCACCCCTTGTCTGTGGGTCAAATGTGCATACCTCTTGTCTGTGGGTCAAATGTGCATATCTCTTGTCTGTGGGTCAAAGGGGGAAGCTGTACCCGGTAGGTGTGCACATCCCTTGTCGGTGGGTAAAATGGGGGTGGGGGGTACCTGGTCGATGTGCACACCCTTTGTCTGTGGTCAAAGGGGGGAGCTGTACCCGGTAGGTACGAGTATACACACCCCTGTCTGTGAGTCAAAGGGGAAGCTGTACCCGATAGGTATATGCAACCTTGTGGGTGGGTCCAAGGGGGAAGCTGTACCCGGTATAAGGGCGAAAGAGAAAAGCTGTATCTGGTATGTATACTATATATTTTTTTTGTCTGTGTTGCTCACATTATAATTAGCTGTACAAAGTTATAAATAGTTATACATAGTTATAAAGAGTTATGTATAGTTACAAATAGTTATACATAGTTACAAATAGCTATAAATAGGTATAAAACGTTACACATAATAATACATAGTTATAAATAATTGTAGAAAGTTATAAATAGTTATACATAATTATACATAGTTATAAATAGTTATACATAATTATGCATAGTTATAAATAGTTATACATAATTATACATAGTTATAAATAATTACACATAATTATGAATAGTTACACATAGTTACACATAGTTATACATAGTTATATATGGTTATAGATAGTTTTACATAGTTATAAATAGTTATAGATAGTTATAAGTAGCGTTGTGCGAATTCAGTCATTTGTTTTACCTCTTGTTCGTCAATGGTTGGTTTATATTTTTCTAACACCGTGACAAAATCAGCCTAAAGCAATAAACAAAATAGAAAAAAAACCCAATTCATTAGGTGAAACACTAATAATGATTAAGCAAACTAAAGGTAGAAATTTATTGTTTAAGAGTTTAAAGGCTCAATACCACTCTTGTTGTAACTGAATAATATGTCCCAATCTGTATTCTGGTCAACAAATTGTACCATTTTACAATATTCCAATTAATTGATGATACAAATTTCATCTTAACACACCTAATTTAAAAAATTGGAAAAATTCAACTAAATGATTTGAAAAGCCTAACGTAAAGCTTTTCAAATGTGACTTGGATTTAAAAATATTTTCGAACCCTCTGGACAAGTAAAATAGAATTTAATGGATAATTTACACAACAGAAAAGGCACTAACACATCTAGTACTTAGAATAAGGCTATTTTTTATTTTCTGGAGCTGTAAAGCCAGCAAGAGTGTTATTGTCCCTTTAAGAGTCCACGCTTGGGTGTGACAGGTGTATTTTAGGACCGTGGTGTTACTTTAGCCCGTGACCGGAATGAAAGATCGCCATTTGAGATTATCTATTTTAATGATTCGCTGATTATTATATAGAATAATATTTACCATGGTAACAGACGGCGTCAGTAACTCTGTCTCTGGTATATCCATGAAGGTCATTTCCATAGCATAGGGGTCATCACCATGACACGGGGTGTATTTACCATCCTCTCCTGTCTATTGAACGACATTATTGGAGTCAGCCATTATTATAAATTATAATGCTAACACAGAGATCATTGCTACGATAGATGCGTTATGAAGATTTCAAGAAAAGGAAGTGACGAACCCAAAAGGAAAACACGAATTATCCTTCTATATAACTGACTAATGTGACGAGTGATAACAGCTACATGGGCAAATTTCTGCTCACTAATGATTCTTTCTAAGACCAAAATTTGTTATAATATGAGACTTGGGGAGGATATCTGACAATTCAAATGAATAATTGTAACGTGTTTAACCAGTTCTATCTCATATGTGATAATGACTGACACCGACATTGTCCTTTAACGATTATAAATCATAACATTAGAATTAACTATGGTTTAACCTTCAACATAATCATAAAACAATCAGTTGTCTGTTGTATGGGTCAACAAAACTTAGTCCAGAGATAAACACACTTATTTTCCAAGAAGTCCAACAATTTATTTTCTTATCAAAAAGATTTAAATCTCCATAAACAACATTTACGTCATTCCAAGCCCTGCACTCTGTATAATCATCTAAGTCTCTATATTATCCATTATGTATCATATATGCTCTATATTTATGTAATTATGTATGTGTGTATGTATGTATGTATGTATGTAAATATTTATAAAGTGTACATGTATCTAAATCAGAGAGAGGGGTTACACATAGGCATAGTCTGTTCCTCAATCCAAATTCAGATTTAATGAATAAAAATATTGTTTTTTAAAAAAAAATAACTATGGTTGAAATGGGGTTTAACGTCCTACTTTCTGCATTGACTGGGTTTATGAATGCGATCAAACGCCACGAAGTATGCTCTGAGTGATATTTTTCCTACTCTTATACCAGATTCCAACTGTCAAGGGTTCTTTTACGTTCACACAACGTAGGTGATGTAATATTACTGAACCAAACTGAATTTATGTCCTTGAAATCAAAGACCACAAAAGGAAAGTAGACTCGATGGCAAATATAAAAAGAATACATGTACTATAGAACTTACCTTTTTAAAGTGTGTCGATGCCATCATTTGTCTTAATGGTTCGAACATTGCATGTCTTACAAGAACAACAAGATCTGAGGGTGTGGATCTTTAAAACATAAAGATACATCAGTCAACGGGTGGATAAACACAGAGAGATAGAGAGAGAGAGAGAGAGAGAGAGAGATAGGGAGAGATTAATGTGCACTCGACATTCGCTGGCGCGTGGGGGTCTTATCAGTGGAGGGAAAGCGGAAGACAGTGCTTGGAATCGAAACCAAACCACTTGACTCAATGACAAACCTTATCAGGGGGCGTGGCAGACAAATGTCTGGGAGGATATTCCGGCTTGACTGACGCCAGAGCATCGAGGTGGGTATTATGCGAAGTTCTCCCCGAGACAATTCTGAAAGTTTGCAGTCGATTTTCTGAAGAAAATTTACTCTTTTAAATGTATAGGTCCTCTCCTGGGCTCTCCCCGTGGCCTCTCCTGTATAGGCTCCCCATCCGGCCACTTAGTCCTCACCTCACGTTTAATGATAATAGATTAACACCACTTTACCTTTCGGTTTTGCCGCCCAGTGCTTTAATGTCATCAACGGAAAGTGTATTCTGTATAGACGTTAACTGGTTCTGGATAATCCGTACTCGCCCAGTTTCTGTAGGCAAGGTTATGTGAGCTCTGTGGGTTATACTTGAAAAAAAAAATAATTTATCAATTAAGGAATTGATAATTTGTTATTGTGTCTTCTTTTGCCGTTATTATCATTAATCGGATATTAATTGAGCATATTGAACAAATGTTTGGCATTTGAGAAAAAAAAAATAGTAATTAAGCAATAAACATTATCATTTTTTTTATTAGCGGAATTGATATTTGGTCTTCATATGCCGTTATTATTTTCCATTGGATATTTTAATGTATGTTTAAAAACATACATTATGCAAGAGTTATATCTGCCTATTGCAGGTCTTTCTTTAAGCCGGAAATGTTTTCTAAGTTATTAATTAGATATTAATTAACTGATACAGGCCATAATCAACTCTCGATGGCATCGGGTTTCTCCGATATTAAATAGATTAGAACGGTTCAGCCATATTTTGAATTAATTTAAAAATGGAGGAGCGAGACTTAGCTTCGAACAACCAGTACGATAGTTGAAATTTTTGCACACGTCTTGTCAAACCCTCAAAAGCTAATATCTTCGCTCGCAATAAAGTAATTAAAATGAAATTTTCAAAATATTCATTTTACATTATCTATTTTCGAACTATTATAGCAAAAACAGCCAACTCTTTATCTAAGTCTTACGTAGTGTATCTTTAATTGAGCATATATAAATAAATGCTTAACATTAATTTGAACTCAAATCAGTACACTGTTAGACATGAGATGAAATGGGGTTTAACGTCCTACGGGACTATAATGAAGACGGGCACGTGTCATGTTGCCTAGAGAATGGTATTCCCGCATTCTGTTCATCGAATTCTGTCAACGCCTACACGGGAAGATCTTGTTGTTTTTTGTTTTCGTCTCATTCCTTGTCAGGCATCTCTGTCCTACACTGACAAGGTAAACCACGCTGGAAAATCTTTATGAACTTTCTCGACCACTCGCAGATCTCCCAATTAGTGAGTTTGACACGGTTACACGGGCGGATCCAGGAATTTTTGCAGGAAGTGGTTTGCCTGGTTCCTGTTAAGGAAATCTCATCGTCTCTAAATTACATAGACATACATACAAATTGAGCTTTTTAAAGAGAGAAATCATTTTTGTAATGATGTAGGAACAGATTGTGATTAAATTTCATTGATGCAAGGCATTCAATTTTTTTATGTAGCTGAGCAGGGTGGGGTTTGCCCCCCCCCCCGGATCCGCCTCTGGGTTATGGGACAAACAGATTTTATTACACAACCTTTCTAAAGTATATAAATGTAATTCAATAAATACTAAAGTTATTACTCTTGTTCACTTTGTATAATTCTGGGAAACCTATTATGATTTCAACGATTTCCGGTAATTGCTTTTGCTCAACTTTTTGTTTGCTGTTTCGTTCATTGCGAGGGATAAAATTATACTACACATTATTAATGCTCTTTGTTGCGTCACAAACTCTTGTTGTAAACATTATACATATTTTGATTTGTATTTATTAAAAGGATCCACAATGCGGACGAATAAACTAAATGGGCCTAGCTGCTGGGTTCGTATATTTTTTTTTATTTCGATTTGAATATACAACTGTGCCTACTTACTGACGTAGCAAAACCCTATCTAACAACCACGGTCTAGAGGTGTTTAATATAACTTGAACACCGTCAACTCTGCCCATTAAAATCTTGATCAATTCTCCTTTTGATTTTTGTCTTTGTGTATCTTCCACATCAGACGTTAGACATAAGACTTCTACGTCATCAATAGAAATTACACTTGGCCTTTTCTCTGACGCCATCTTGAATACATGTCCCAGTAATCTGGAAATGGAAATGAAACGGGGGTTTCACCATGAATTTTTCCGCATTATGCGTCCATGCGTGCTATTAAAAGACAATATTGGTGCCAGTCATTATCACATATGTGATAGAGCTGGTTAAACACATTCCAAATATAATTTTATCTCAGAGATCATTGCTACGATAGCTGAGTAATACAGTTTTTCTGAATCGGAAGTGACGAACGCCAAAGGAAAACACGAGTTGCCTCTCTATATAACTGACTGATGTGACGAATGATAACGGATATACGGGCGAATTTCTGTTCACTAATAATTCCGTCGGAGACCAAAAGTTGTTATATAGGACTGTAAGAGGATACCTGACAATTCACTAAAGTAAATGAATGTCATTAGAAAAGAGAACACGAGAAAAATAGAAATAGTCCGTACATTCCCTTGTTTATATTCATTCTATACCTTATAAAAACATGGTAATGCACGGACTTTTTCTGTTTTTCTTTCGTGTTCACTTATCTAGTGACAGTCAATTCTTTTTATGAATTGTCAGATATCCTCTCACAGTCTCACACAAAAACTTTTGATAATATTCAGTTTCCTCCCACTGCTAAAGACCCCTACGCGCATGCGAATTATTGAATTAAAATTAAAACTATATGTTAGTCCCGAAATGACCTAGCTTGTGTCGAGTGGACGTTAAACCCCATTTCTCTCTCTCTCTCACAATACTAATAATTTGAATTTAGGAGATTTTTCTTATAGGTCCAGTATCAAGATTGGAGCAAATGACGGTTTCTCGGTTCCCAACTCTTCACCATGTTCTAAAAACGTTTTTTTAAAATTTTTATACGGAACGTCAATAAAATATTTATTAATTTATCAACGGATCGTAATTAGAAGCTAAGATACAGCCAGCTACCTATAATACTAGTATATCAATACAACTTATTACTAGCCATGTTGACAAACATGGGAACACTTAGCTAGTCGACTGTCATTTCAAGTCATAAATGAACGATTTTAGTCGAAATACTACGTAGGTATATATTCTGCTTTCTCTGCGGGGGGGGGGGGGCGGACTTCCATATTGTGATTGGCTAACGTCAGGCATGCGTGTTTATGAAACTATTAACCACCAATCACAACTATTCCAGGCGAATTTCAAAAATTGTCAAATAAACTAGACACAGTCATAGGGAACATGATGATCGTGTATTGAAACAGATCACCGAACGGTCATAATCATCACATTAAGTTATTACGACTGTTCGTAAGGAGAACAGTAGTCTCTACACGTCACCTTACCTGTCACCATGTTTCACCCATCTGCTGAATAAATCATAAACTGAAAATTTGAAATACGTCACTTCCGAAATATTGGAAAACACAGCTGATGTTATATACGTCTTTCCACTCCCAGGATGCTGTGAAATACAAAATGGAGGATAATTGCTCAACAAAATGTAGGTATAATAAACAAAACAGAAACACAATCAGATATTAATAACATTAGAATTAAATTTGAAAAATTTAGAAATTTTAAGATATAATCTTTTATAAAAACTTTAAAAAACTTTTTTTAGAAATTTTAGAAAATGAATTTTTTTATACTATTCAAAAAAAGTAGGGGATATTTAATTTTTAAGTGTTATTAAAGTCACCTAATAAAACTGACGAAGAAACAAATGACAAAATGAAATGAAGTTCACATTCATCGATTTATTCCAAATGATCGTTAGACTAAGTAAGGCACAGACTGACCATTATAAGGGTAAAATGATACCCGGGGTCAAACAGCAAAGTTACCACAGCATCACAACCAAGTCAGTAACGGGTAAATCCTCCTCTGTTTGCCAAACAAGCATTGATCCGACGTGGCATACTCCTACTGAGACGTCTAAGGTCATTTTGGTCCAGATTGTCCCATTCCTGTTGCAACGCAGCAGCAAGTTCTTGGACATTGGCAGGACGTTGTTGACGTTGACGTAACCTCTGTCCAAGCATGTCCCAGACATGCTCGATGGGGGAGAGGTCGGGACTCAGTGCTGGCCAAGGTAATGTGGTGATGTTCTGTTGTTGGAGGTAACCTGTAACGATCCTGGCCCTGTGACATCTTGCGTTGTCATCCTGGAAGATGAAACGGCGGCCATGACGTCGTGCGAACGGCACAACATGGACTGCCAAGATGTTGTCCCGGTAGTACTGGCCTGTAACACGCCCTGCAACAACATGTAAAGCCGTTCTTCCAGTGATGCCTCCCCACACCATAACAGAACCACCCCCAAATCGATCATGTCTGATGATGTTAACGTCTTGGAAGCGCTCGTTTCGACGACGCCACACCCTCCTACGTCTGTCCAAAAAATCAACAGTGAACCTTGACTCATCTGAAAACATCACATTGCTCCAGCGTCGATTATCCCAGTGTTGACGATCCCTACACCAACGACGTCTTGCCTGAATGTGATGATCTCTCAAACAAGGATCACGCGAGGACGTCGGGCGCGAAGGTGACCCCTATGCAGTCGATTCCGAATCGTCTGGCCACTCACTCTCACACCAGTGTCTGTTTGAAGACGAGCGCTGATCTGATTTGATGTGATGACACGATTTCTCAAGGCCAAGGTACGGATAAATCGATCCTGGGCTTGAGTTGTCGACCTGAGCGTGGTCTGTCCTGTACAGATTGTGTATCACGGTATCTGGACCATAGCCTGCTTATGTCAGACTGAGAAACATTCATCGTCCGCGCCACAACCGCCTGTGTTGTGCCGATCTGTAGCATGCCAAGGGCACGTAACCTTTCATTTTGGGTAAGCCGACGCATATCAAAATTTGTTTTCTGGTCACTAAAACAATTAAACTGATGTTTCCACCCTGGAATTCAATGCCACAATGACTGTAACATTCAAAGTCAGAGTCGTGCAAATCTTGGATTGGACCCCCATGATGACCCCAAGCATCACCTGCATTCCATGCGGTAGCTATTGGTGCGTTTGGGCGTCACATGTAACTGGAAATGTTTCTTCTGTTAGGTTCTATAGTGACTTTTTTCGTTGTCATTTGCATATTTTAGTATTATGCCCCCAAAATCAAATATCCCCTACTTTTTTTGAATAGTATAGTAATTTTAAAATGTAATATTTTTAGAAGTTTTAAAATATATATTTTTTTTAGAATTTTTAAAATATAAATTTTTTAGAAATTTTAAAAAATATTTTTTTTAGAAATTTTAAAATATAATTTTTTTAGAATTTTTAAATATGATGAACATTTTGAATTTTGATCGAAATGTATCTTGCATAATATAGGGATTTAATTTAAAATATTTAAGTACACATGAACTTACTCCATACATCAGAATACCCATATGACATGACCTTGCTCCTGGAATGATTTATATGAATATGGATCAACATAAGATGATATCAACTAAAATTTAAATATTTAAATATTTTCCAAGTGTACTACTTTTCTGATCCGATTGGGCTAATTGTGACGTGCTATGAGGGATATTTTAGCCGGAAAGCGGCACTACGGCCTACTATTATAAGGAATTCCAACTGTCAAGGGCTCTTTTACATGCACGCCAATGTGTACACGGAACCTCGGTTTTTAGTTTAAATATATTTTATTGACAAATATCAAAAGGATTGAGCACAAGTTTCAAAAACTTAGAAAAGCCCTTTCCATACATATAAATGATAGACAAAATTTAATACAAATAAGATTGCGAAATAGTATATAGAATAATAAATAATTTATAAGTAATTTAAGTAAAGTCAGATCAATTATATCGCAAAGCTCTATATAAAATAAGTGAAAAGGTGCGGGTGCGGGGGAAAAAAAAAAAAAAATGTTATCCACCAAAAAAGCTATAGCTAATAATTTATTCTAAGATGTAACTACTAACAATAACTTTATTTAAATCGTTTTGAAAGTTTGATATATTTGTGAACTTCAAGGAAAAGGTTTGTATTCATCTCAATTGACAATTCTGAATTGCCGCACAATAGGATATCTATATTTATCACAGAATAATTTGACAATGTATTTAATAGTTCGGCACGAATTACATCATATAAGTGACATTGCAGGAAATAGTGTCCGGCATTTTCTATAACTTTGCCACAAGAACATGTGGGATCATTCACAACGTTTATTTTATACAAATCATTTTGCAACGAACTACACCCATGCCGTATTCTAGTGTGAATTATATTTTCATGTCTATTACCTTTACAGTAGTAGATTGGCGCTTTATGTATTAAGGAACGTAATTTTTGTTTGTATAGATATTTGAAGGATTTAATGTTGGTTGATTGCTTTATGAGGTCCTCTAATAATTCCCAATCTCGAATTGTTGTGGGGAAGTACGAAGTTTGATGCAATGTTGTTCTACAATAAGGATATCTATATTCGCCAATGTTTCTTAAATTGTATTTTTGTGATGTTTGTTGATAATTTTTAAGAATGTCATATAAGTATGCTGGGTTTCTCTGATTTTTAATTTGAAAAAATATAGTTAGTCGCTTTTGTGTACGTCTGTCTGACAATTTATTTCATCCGGTATCAAAATAAAGCGCTTCACGAGAACAAGTTTTAGTTAGCCCAGTGACAATCCTGGCAGCTTCTAGCTGTACCTTTTCAAGTTTTTCGGTATTGGAAACGTTACACCCATCCCACACTTCACATGCGTATTCCTATTTTGGCCTTATGAATATCAAATATACGTTATTTAGAGTTTGTCTATTAATGGTGAATTTTAGTTTACGCAAAATATTTAATAATTTTGAGGTGGACTAAATAATAGTTTCTATATAGATGGTCCATTTGGCGTCATTTGAAAGAACCTCGGTTTTTCGTCCCATTCGAACAACTATGCGTTGTCGCTTGCCAGGCTCTCAGCCTTACATCACTGACAATACGCAGTTTAAGTTTTTCAATTCTCTTTGTTCGTTTTTAGCAGTTTGAATAACTCAGTGGATGACGACATTTTAAACCAGATCTAGTTTAATAAATCCATCAGTTGCCCGGAATCACGTGGACGATGCGTATTTATAAAGAATATAAAACACACATTGACCTTTAAACAAATGGGGGTTGGATGGCCGAATGGTGAGTGTGTGCGCGCTGCATCATCTGTCATTGAATCAACTGGCGTAGTTTATATTCCCCGGTTGCACGTGAGAAGGAGCAGGGTCGCCTGTCAAACCTCGTGGATTTTCTCCGACGTCCCTCGGTTTCCTCCCACTGCCAAAGACCCCCACGCGCAAGCGAATTTTTTAATTAAAATTGAACCATATTTTAGTCCCGAAATGATCTAGTTTGTATCGAGTGCAAATTAAATTCTCTCTCTCTCTCTCTCTCTCTCTCTCTCTCTCTCTCTCACACACACACATTAAACAATTTCAGCATGAAATATATATATACAATACATATTTACCTTTAAAAAGCTGCGGAAATCTTAATGGTAGCACGACACGTTCTTTTAAAATTTCTTTAGGTTCATCCAACTCGACTACATCCTCCCACTGAACACCCCCTTTATTACTGATGATAAATCCATCTAAAACATTATTCTCAGATTAAAATCATCAAATTAAATGTCCTACATTGCATATCAAAAAGGCTAATAATGGCGGTCATACAGTGTTTGTGGGAAGCAGCGTTCCCTCGAATTCAAACAAGGGTTCTTTTACATGTACGTCAATGTACACACGGGAAATTGCTTTGTCGTCCCATTAAAACGGCTAGACATCCTTTATTTGTCGCGCCACTATCACTGAGATACCTGGCTGTTTAATCAATAGGAGCTTTCTGATTTAACACTACTGATGTAACATTATAGAAGTAATGGTGGTCTGCATCCATTTAAATAATGTAGATATCTCCCTTTGGGTTATTTATTTGTCTGCTTGCAGTACTACGACTCTTTTATTTGAATATTAGCTGATCTCCGTCTACTGACTGGTGTTGACTTGGTAGTTTACTAACCAATACGAAGGAGAGAATGTACCCATGAGTATCACTGAAACAATTAATGGTTGAAATCTGTAGTTATCTCCCTTTGAGCTATTTATTTATAAATCTGATCGAGGTGGCCCGCTCAGCCACCACGGTGTACACAAGTTGAAGATTACAGGACTATCAATGATAGACAATGAAATATTAAAATGATTGAGATAATACCCGCTAGTCTTTGATAGTCATCTTCAGAATCGTCGGATATCATACTTCTAGCGTTCAGATCGCTCATTGTTATGTGGATATTACCGCGTGATGTCAACAACGTGTGGGCGTGACGGTGTTACTATAAATACACCATGTACATTATCTGTATTGGTCCATAATTCACAACTGATTTCCATATTGACTGTAATGTTAATTCTCGTATCTTTTTATTTTTTTTTTGGGACTGGCTCTAAACGTTTCTAAAATGTTCTTTGAGTCGAATGCTTTCTACCATACAGACCTAAAACAGAATGGTTGAATGACGATATATTGAAAGCTCAAAAAAATTAGGAATAAATCAGAATCAGCCAGTAACAAATAAAAATGGAATTCTACTCGAAGAGCACCGACACAGCCAGTAACAAACAAGTAATTGTTTTCTATTGTCAACTTACTAACAGACAGAAAACTTTAATAGGTCAATTCTCCCGAACACACGCTAGCAAATGAATTTTCCCATTTCTTCATGAATAAAATTGCTGTCTTCCAGGGTAGTTTAGCTACCGCACAGTGTCCTAATAATGATGACACACTGCCTTTATTAACCAGTTTTCGTTTGCTTTGTTTTAAACCAATAAATGAAGATACCGTGTTAAAGATCATAAACTTATCAGCATTTCGGGTTCTGAACCCCAAACATTTATCGAGTCCGTGCGCATATGCTAACAATTATCTTTTTTTAAAATTTGGTTTGAATACCTATTGATAATCAGCTTTCCGCGACCGGTCGTTTCAGAGTTATGCACCCTTGGCCGAAATTTCTTTTGCTGAGCGTTTTATGGACCAATTTCTATTTTCGCGTAGAGCATTGTGGCCATGAGTGGACGAATCATATCGATGTTCAGCTGTCCGTGCTCGTGCCTGTCTGCCCCCCCCCACCCTACTCCCATTTTCGAAAAACCTTGTAAAAACGATAGAGGCTACAGCTTCTAATGGTGTGTTTTTCATATTTGATATAAAACATTGGGGCAATAAGAAGATGAGGCATATTTTTCATGGCAACCGCGTGTTATATAAGCTATATCATGGTTAGGCTCCATGCAACTATTTGGAAGAATGCCTTTCAACAGCTCAACTGCTTAATATACATTTTTGATTTACATCTTTTCGCTTTTACTCATTTATTTACTACTTTAGTTTGGCGAAAACATGTGAACGCGACAGAGGCTACAATTAATAACCGATTTCTTTTTTCAGATTTTATGTAAAGCATCCGGGTCCGTTTTAGAGTTACACCCCTCCAATAATAATAATCACAGAATCAAATGGTATCCAGACCCCCCCCCCCCCTCCCCTCCGGAAACTATGTAAACGCAATAATTGAAAATAAATAAAATGAGGGTTAACTTCCTACTGTTCTGCTCCTATACTGGGCTAATGAAGACGGGCATACGTCATACAGTGTGCTATGAGGAAAATTTGCCCGGGCAGCGGCACTATCGCCTACTCTTATATCAAATTCCAACTGCCAAGGGATCTTTTACGTGCACGCCAATGTGTACACGGGACCTCGGTTTTTCGTCCCATCCGAACGACTAGATAGCTGTCCTTGTCAGGCCCTCCGTCCTGCATCACTGACAAGGGGAAATCACGCTGGAAAATCTGGATGAACTTTCTCGGCCAATGCAGGGATCGAACACACCGACCTCCAGGCTAGCGAGTCAGCGTCTTACCCACTTAGCCACGTGATCCCACTAAACGCAATAAGGCTATGAGTTGTAACATAGTTTTTTTTCAAATAAGGGTCGTGCGAGCTGCGATATATAGACTTATACACCCTTATCCGAAAACCTTTTCAAATCTGCAAAGGCTAAGTTTCACGAGAGGATGAGCCATGGGCCTATTGAGTTTTCTCCATTCATGTCATCTCTTGCAAAATGTAGGCACATCTTGCATGGCAACCTCCGTTTCATAAGCTATGTCTGTCTTTACAATTGTGGGTGTTAGTATAAACTAAGCTACGCCCAAAACACTCATCAAGGTTGCGCGCCTTTGAAAACTACAGCCAATTGTTTTATCCATGAATTCAACCTCCTGAGTTTTCTCTGGGTCTTCCGGTTTCCTTCCGCTGCTAAAGATCCCTACGCGCAAGCGAATTGTTGAAATAAAACTGAAAATGTGTCAGTCCCGAAATGACCTATTCTCCCTCTCTCCTCCTTTATCCACGAAATTTCTTATGTCCAAAAGGCACAAGTACTGGCTTATAAGAGGTTGATGTGTGCACTAAGTTTCACCTGTCTACGATATCACCTATGGTGGAAGTAGACGTAAAACTCTTGGAACGAACGAACGAACGAAGTTTAATAATAATATATCCTGAAAGGTTTATGAAGGACGTCGTGGCCCTTTTCAATATCCGTCTTCTAACTCCGTTCGTTCATGCTTGGTAAATAATCTAATGCAAATTTCTGTTTGTCATTATTTGGTATCTAGTTTAATAGGAAATCAGGTAATTATTATTAATAAGCGTTTATTTCTACACCTGTCGATTCCAACTATCAATGCCAACCTGTATACAGGACCTTGGTGTTTGTTCTCATGTCAGGCCGTCCGTTCTGCACCACCGATGCGAGAACTCCCAGCTCTTTATCGAATCTTACCTAATGCATACTATATGTGCCAAATAGAACGAAAATTTTCTCAGAAAATTCTGGTTACAATCTTTAAAAATTGAGGTTTGTAAAACAATTATTACAAAAGATAAACAAAAGTAAAGAAGCATGTAAATTCAGACTGAGTATCTCACAAACGATCTGGATGAATTCAAATTCATTATAATCTAACCATTTTCGGTCTGCTATTCCTTTTAGAGTTTTAACATTCACACTATTGCTGTCTGAAGGAATTGGAATTCCCTTAAATGTCCATCACCAGCTTTAATTTTACATATGTTTGTCAGGAACCCAGGAAAAATATTTTATGTTTTGAAATTTTATGCGGTGTTTTCAGGACATCTTGAAAGCACAATATAAATTATAACGTAGAACATTGTCAATTTTGCCGCCGATAAAATTCTAATACGCCTACGGGGCTGATAAAGAAAGTGTCTCTAGTTGTTAGGATGGGATGAAAAAAGGTTCACCCGTGAGAACATTGGCCTACACGCAAAAGAACCCTTGGCATTCCATGTCGTCAATATTATTTCATTTCACATTTCACAACTAAATATTGCAATGAAAATTACTTTATATTAGTCTCAACATGATCGGGGTGTTGTGTTGAGGAGATGTTAACCCCCATTCCATTAATATGCTAATTTATTATCAACTGTATATAGCAATTTACCTGTAGCAGGTACATCTAGTACAATGGATTGTATTGATGATATGATCAACATAAAATACACAAAAATCATCTCTATTGACAACAAATATGGTGCATATCTTAACACACTGACATCTATTGTCACGTCTTCAATTTTATAGTCTCTAAATTACAAAACGTATTCGTGGAATCCATCTCTTGATATGTAAAAAATAATTTAGATATTTCTTCTATATTTCTTGCCGAAAGTAAAAAATCCGACGATCGCTCGTTTTCTAAGTTGATAATAACAATCAGGGGCGTAAATGTGCTGGGGGGGGGGGGGGTACATAAAAAAAATAGTCGGTCGCAAAATCAGTGCAGTCGGTCGCAAAATAAGAGCAGTCGGTATCAAAATAAGTGCTCACTGCACACGCCACGCTACTCACGCAAAACTGTAGTATAAAATAACCTTGTCAACTTATCATGTTGGAAAAAATGTCGTGTTTCACTCTTATTCTGTTGTGAGTATGTTGGTCTAAGAACAAAATTTCCCCCAGGGAGAAAAATAGTCGGTCTCAAAATAAATGCAGTCACTGCAGTCGGTCTCAAAATTATGCATCGCCGTCTTAATGAATTAATGAGGTAAACAAATAATGCCAGAATAGATCCCAAATACTAGTCGGTCGCAAAATCAGTGCAGTCGGTCGTAAGATAGAGCAGTCGGTATCAAAATAAGTGCTCACTGCACACTTCACGCTACTCACGCAAAACATTAGTAGAAAAATAACCTTGTCAACTTATTATGTTTGAAAAAAATGTTTTTCACCCCATGGCAAAAAAATAGTCGGTCTCAAAAAAAAGTGCTCAGACTAAATGAATTAATAGGGTGTTTTCTGACCATCAGAATTCTGCAAAATCTCTCCCCAAAGTCCAGGGCATTTCAGAGACCAAGTAAGCGCCCCATTGAGGTAAAGTGCCCTCAGGCCCATTCCTGAAAAAATAAAAGCTCGGTTACATATCGGCGCTCAATTCCATTATGCCATTTTTCTTCAACTCCTCCTCTGTCTTATACTTTCTCATCACTATCATATGCTCGTCTTCATTAGCCCAGGTTAGGAATAGAACAGTAGAACGCTAAACCCCATTTCATTTCATTTCATTTCATGATATTCACAGCTACAGTGAATCCCCCAGTATATATAGTACCACTAGTGAGTGATTCGTGGGTCAAAAGACTGTAGAATTGTTAGTTCTACTCTCACAAAACAGGCGACATTGACAGGTAAGCCTCAAGATTCTGTCCCATTTCTTATCCTCTCGTTAACCAGAATTTGGATCCATTTGCCATAACATTGACAAAAATTGTCAGGCCCAGTCCCAAAAATTAAAAGCTCGGACACATATGAAATTTTTTCGCGCCTCGATACCATTATAACATCATTCTTCCACTCCTCTGTTAATTGTCTTATACTGTCTCAGCACTATCATATTCACGGTTATACTGAACTGCCTAGTTGTGTTAGTAGTACCACAAATGTTCTGTCAACTCTTGCAAAACAGGCGTAATTGACAGGGGCAGATCTCGAGATTCCTGGTCCTCACACCCACAAAAATTTCTCCCAGCAATGACTTCAAATGCCAAGATATTGACTCAATTTTTCAAAATTTTCTCAGGTTGCTCAATGTTATAGGCACAATCATACATGACATAAACTTTATGCCAACTTAAATAAAACTGCTTTCCGGCGAGACAAAGATCGACAAACAACTATATAATTATACAATACCATCTATGT